GAGCAGCCGCAGAGACAGAAGTTCCTCAAAAAATTAAAAATAGAATTGCCACGTGACCCAGAAATTCCACTTCTGGGTGTCGACTCAAAAGAACCAAAAGCAGGAACTCCAACAGCTCTGTCCGGCCTTGTCCACGGCCAAGACAGAAGAGCCCCAGTGCCCAGGACAGGGGAACGAGGACACCAGAGACGTGGTTCTGCCCAACAGCCCACCACCGCCTTCCAGGGGAGATTCTGACCCCGGCCGCCACGTGGGTGGGCCCTGAGGACAAGTCACAGGCAGCGAAATGAGCCGGGCACCAGAGGACACGTCCCACGCGGCTCCACCTGTTTGAAGCACCCCGTCTCCAAACAAAAGGAATGATCTGGAGTCGTCCCAGTCAGGGGCAGAGAGCAGAGTGTCAGGGGCTGCCGGGGGCTGGGGCAGGGATGGGAGAACGGGGAATTATCCTGTGGAGGAACCGAGTTCCGGTTTTGCAAGATAAGAACGTTCTGGAGGTGCACGGTGGTGACGGTGACGCTGGCACCACACTGCGCCTGGACTTAAGCCACAAAGCTGCACACTTGAAGCCGTCACCGTAACAGACTTCATGTCGGGCACACTTTGCCACCATCAATCAATGAGTATTAAATCAGGACTTTTTTTTTCCTTTTCTTTCTTTTTTAAACACAGTGGTGGGAATTGACTCCTTGGGTGCTCTACCACTGAGCTACCTTCCCAGCCCTTTTTAAGACAAGGGTCTCCATGGGTTGCCGAAGGCCCTTCCTAACTTTCCCAGAAGGGCCTTGGATTGACGATCTCCTGCCTCGGGCTCCAGAGTTGCTGGGATCACAGGTGCCTGTCTGGCCTTATTCTTTTAATCGCCAAGGAATTTAGAATGACTAATTGAGTGGGCGTGGTGCAGGGCTGTCACCCCAGCCAGCAGGGAGGCTGAGGCGGGAGGATCCCAAGTTCAAGTCCAGCCCCAGCAATTTAGCGAGACCCTGTCTCAAAATTAAAAATTATAAAAAAGGCTGGGGATGTGGCTCAGCGGTTGAGCACCCCCTGGGTCTCCAGGACCAACAAAGAGAAAGAGAATGAATGACTGATTGGATCCGACTGTGCTGCAGGGTTAGAAAACAATCGCGCCTGGAAGGTGTTCCACAAGGAGAGTGCTGGGGGGAGCTCTTTATCTCTGGAAGCTTCAAAGAGAGGCCGGCTGACCAGGTGTGGTCAGGGAGACACCTAGACAAAGTCTCCAGTGGTTTCATCAGGGGGAAAAGTCACTCATCTGAGCTTGTCCTTTAGAGTTAAGGAGGGGGAAAGGAAAGACATAAAAAAGAAAGACCAGAGTTACCAGGGCACCAGCAGAAGACCTAGAAACAG